GACGGACGGACAGACAGACATGGCTTAATCGATTTCTTTTTTCATCCTGATCATTTATGTATACATTTGTCTATATCTATCTCGATTCGTTTTGGCTGTTACAAACAACCGTTATGTGAACAAAATTAATATACCCTTGTGCACAAGTGCGCTCGGGTATAAAAAACTTGAAGGGTTGCCACCTGTTTAAAAAATTTCGAAATTAAAAAGATAACTATTAAAATATTAAAATATGGCTATCGAAAATAAGTTTGAAGAGAGTTGCCACCTGTGTGAAAATCTTAAACTCAATAAAATTGATCAAATAAATTAAATATTACAATACGAGTATCAAATTAAACAGTTTTAAGAAATATGATTACTGGGAATATTTTTTAGAGGGTTTCCACCTGTTTGAAGGTCTTAAGTTCGGTTAATTTTATAAAATAAATGAGAGTGAAATTTTGGTCAGTGAATAAACTGTGAACAAGTAATTTTATCGAAAAATGGCTGAAGAACTTTTTTGTATAACATTCGATTTCCTATTAGAATATGAATTCCATATTGCTATACACTGATTGGTTCAAAAGAAAAACCATTAGACTAGATAACCAGACTAGAACAAGTAAGAAAGTATTAAATATATGATTTTCACCTTTCCGAAAGCTACCGCTACATGGGTGTAACAATTTTGAGTAAATTATCGTCCATAAATTTCGGAATATTGAAGTTTCAAGCATTTCTGAAATTTACCGTTATATGAATAGCGGCCGTAATCTTAGTCCGATTTCAATAATTTTCAACGTTTTACTTCTATGTGGCAAGCACAATAACCACACCGAGTTTGGTACAAATTGGTAGAAAGGTCACCGATATACATATATGTGATCATAAGTGGGCGGTGCTACGCCCATTTGCAAAATTTTATCATAAACGTATTTCTTGGTAAATAATTGTTGCAAGCATCAATTTAGAATAAATTGGCTTTAATATTTACTGATTTATAGAAGATTTCGTATTTCTTCAAATTACCGTTATATTGGATGTGGGCGTGTTTATTGTCCGATTTTTTAAATTCTCGGCCATTTGGTATACTGTAGCAAGGCTAACAACTGTGCCAAGTTTGGAAGAAATTGGTGCAGCGATGTTTGGCAACATCGATGTTTTAAATAAGAACATCGATGTTTTTTTTTTTTCAAAAATTACTTATGTATAAATGAGGCATGATTCAATAATAAAAGGTTCGACCAGAAAACAGTTTCTCGCTTCCCCTTAACAAAATCAGCTGGTTATCATAAATATGTTATTATACTACGAAAATTACAAAATTTTCTATATATATATTTTTTTTTGTACAGTTCTATAAGTAACGTTCTTTTCTTCTTACCGTGTTTTCTAGCAGGCTCTAGGTTAGTGTATTGGTATTTTTGAATAAGTTTATAAGTTGAATATTTAGTGTATCTTGAATAAATTGTAATAGAAATGGAGGAAATTGTAATAGAGATGAAAGAAATTGTAAGAGATAACAGAAAATGCCAAAAACAGGTGATCTCAGCTGTAGGAATTTTTGGCAATCAGCTGATAGTGTTTTTACTTAGGAAACTGTAAGATGCCTTTAGTTTGCTTTCAAATGCGCTTTCTTATACAAAGTCAAAAACAAAGCTTCAAAAATACGAGATTTGTTGCTTCCTTAAGAACATTTCTGTAAGCATTTCCCATATCGTTAAACTTAAAAAGTTGTTTGCTTCTCCCTTAAAATTTTACGCTTGTCAAATAGGGTATTTTGCATCGATGGCCGATATACTGATAAATACCAGCTGGACCACGGAATAGGCGGAGGAATATACGCTGAGTAATTCGGAATGACGATTTCCTTCCGTCTCCCATTGTCTGTAATGTCTTATTGGCCGAACTAGCTGGTAAACACAAACCTGTTGATGGTCTACGTCTAATTACTGCCACAGCAAATGAAATTTATGTGAATCTACTTAAATAAGATGTCATAAAGACGCTTTTTTCATTTAAAATAAATGCGGAAACGGTATCGAATTGCTGTAAAACTCTCAATGTGATGCTAGAGCACTTCGCTTTGCATCTGGTATGAGTACCATGGCATTATAACATACATACATACAAGGGAATGAGAACGCAAACGAGCTTGCAAGAAAGGGTACCTCTGCTCCACTTCTACTTTTGGCACGGCATTTCGCTCGATTCTGAGATTTGGAAGGATGTAGAAAAAGGATCCGTCCAGCGCATCGTCTTGACCTGCAGGCTGTGTCGGAGCCACAGCCGCTAAACTTAAGCGTAGAATACGTGCTATTATTAAGATCACATTCAAGTTAAAAACGGTGCATCAAATATTCGTTTTGATTGTACTGAACTGAATTTAATAAATCAAAATTAATTGCAAAACAATAATAATTAGCAATAGAGAAGCAGACCCTCATTAACTTCAATCATATGTACCATCAGCTTATAAATAAATATATGCCATGGCGTGTATCATTATTTCGATTCAGGAATTCGATTTTCTGCAGAAATTTGTATTACTTTTAGGTGACAACGCTCCTAACTACAGTTCAGAAATAAAGCCTTTTTAAACCCATTTCATTTGATACGCATATTTTCAATAATTGCTTTAACTTATTAAATAATTTGAGTTTACGTTTTTACCAGGTGGCATCCCTCTTTAATAATCTCAATATTTAAACTAAGGATATCTTACCACCTTCGTTTCACGTACTAATTTAATATTTCATTTAACTCATGCATACGTTATTTAAATTCTAATTTTGAAACAGGTGGCAACCCTATTCAAAATATTTTCAAACCACAACCTCTTTCGTCTGACATCCAAATCAGGATATACATTTCAATTTTCTGCCTTTATTTAAGTCGAACTTGCTTTTTGAAATAGGAGGCAACCCTCCTACATATGTGTAATTAAGAAATAAGGCCTTTTCAAAACCATTTCGATCAATACTCATAGTGTAATAATTGATTTAACTTAAAAATAATTTGAATTTAATTTTTTTACCAGGTGGCAACTCTTTTTCAAAGAATAAGAAGCTATTGCACATCTACAGGCCAAGCCCTTTTTATTTGATACCTCAGTTCGTAAAATCGAACTAACATTACAGATCTGATGATATTATATATATATATGGATGTACAATGTACATATCTATAATATGTATGTAGATACATATGTATATACTAGGGATGCCAAAATATCAGGAAAATTGTGATCCCGGGATTTCGGGATATATCCTGGGATTCAAAGTGAGTCATAAATTTTATGAATATGAGTAAAAATTCAATATCTGAAAGCATTTAAACATACTATGAAATAAAACTATTTAAAATTTACGATAAACTGATTGTAAAGTTGCTAACTTCACTTTTAATGAAAAATCATATTTTGATATAGGACGCTAGATAAATTAAAATTGCATCGTCTCGAAAAGGGTAAAGGTCCTTGTTTTATGTTTTCTCGTTTATATTCAATAAACTGAAAATTTCCTAAGGCCCAAAAAGCTCCGAAATCTTTTAATAAAGATCGAATCCCTCTGATTCGTATGGAGTTACGCTTTGCTATAAACAGGCAAAATGTTGTATTCAAAGTTTTGCGAAATACTTGAAGAAATGGCTATAAGAAGTTTTTTCCTCTCCTGTACAATTTTTAAATTGG